AATTGTTTAAATATGAAAAATAATAGTGTTGATTTAAAAAAAAAAAAGGGAAAAAAAGAACCTGAAGAGAATGGCGAGAATGAAAGTAGTAGCGGGAGTGAGATTGCTCATGGCTGAACCCAAAGTTGGATTGCTCAAAGCAATGCCTACATTCCCAAGATATTGCGCTACAAAACTGCATATTTTTTTAAAAAAAAAATAAATAAAAAATAATAATAATGAAAATTTAATTTTAGTGTTTAACCAAAATCGCCCCTATATATAATTCCCGAATGCGCTGAGCCTACGTGGCTTCTTCTGGTGCTTCGGAATCCTACTTGGCGAAGAATCATGCTTTGTAATTAGGTTCGGACAAATAATATTGATATATTAATAATTAATCTAGGTTCGGACATTCCATAAATATTATTTAGCTAACTTAGGTATTTTATATCACTTGTACTAATATAACTCTTTAATTTTTTGTAATTTTACATAGTGAGACACTGAGTGACTAATATATTCCTGTCTTTTAATTTGTTTCCTTCAATTAGCTATTGAATTATAAATGTATTTTAAAAGTTGATAACTTTTGTATTTCTTATCGGTTTTACATATATAATATATCAAATTAATCATCTTTTCATTATCTTCGATTTGACATCCATATTGTATATATAAAATAAACAAATAATATTTACCTTTATAATAATAAAAAATAATATTTATTAAATTTTATTAAAAAAATAAAATTATTTCTCAGTTGATATATTTTTGTTTAATGTAGTTATGTGTTGTAAGTTAAAAAAATTATTATAATATAACACAAGTAAGTCACACAAATAAAAAGTGTCATACTAGATATATAATAATATATATTTTTATAAAAATTATTTAAATTTTCAACTACTTTTTCTCAATAATTTTAGATTTTAAGGAAAAAATTAACAAGCACCCGTGTAATACACGGGCGTTGTACTAGTATTATTCTAAATCATTAATTTTAGGTTTTGGCATTCAAGAAATATTGAAAAACTAACTTGGTGACTCCATAATAGTTTGACTAATATAACCTTAAGTTGTATTGGAACCTTTGGTAATGATATCCATTGACTAATATAACATTGATTTTTTTTGAAAGCTCTCAATCGGCTCATTAATTTCCATAAAAACTCAAATTAGCCTAATAAATACATATAATTTAATTTTAAACAATTGTTCATGTTATTATTATTTAAATAATATAATTTTTTTAACAAGTACCCGTGTAGTACACGAGTATTGCACTAGTTATCAATATTATTAAATAATATCAAATAATCATACTCACACATCACATCCATTTAATGCACTATTCATTGAGTCACATAATTTTAAATACCTATCACTTCAATAATCCCTCTATATATAATTCTCGAATGTGCTTAGCCTAATTGACAGGCTCGCATTCTTTAGAATCCTAGGTGTCAAAATTTAATGCTTTGTTATTTTACTTGGATAGATTTTAATTTTATTCCAATCCAAAACTAATTAGGTTCAGATTACCATAAATATGTTGATTTATTTATGATCATTTTAGATGTATTAGTTGTATTTTAATATCATTTCGTATGATAATTATTGAATTGTAAATGTATTTTAAAAGTTGATAACTTTTGTATTTCTTATCGGTTTTTACATATATATTGTATCAAGTTAATCAGCTTGATGAGTACGATTTTACATCCATATTGTATATATAAAATAAATAAATTATATTTATCTTTACAATAATAAAAAAATATTTATTAAAAAAAGTAAAAAATAAATTATTTTTCAATTAGTATATTCATGTTTAATGTAGTTATATGTTATAAATTAGAAAAATTATTATAATATAACACATGTAAGCCACACAAGTAACAAGTGCCATACTAAAATATATTATATATATATAAGTTTTCAACTACTTTTTCTTATTATTTTTAAATTTTAAAAAAAAATTAACAAGCACCCGTGTACTACACAAGCGTTACTAGTCTCTATGATACATCAGCATTAATCATTACATTTTAAATATTATTCACTTACAAACCTCAAATTTACTACTTGTCATATGCAATGGCCACCTTAGTTCAACAGTATGAACACACGGATGTCTCATAATAAAGGCCTAAATGCATTAAGGTAGTGATCTCTATTTGAGGAGTTGGTGTGATCTCAACGTTTCGAAGAAGCATATATGAGGTGGTGGAGAACAGTTATCGCCCCTGATTTTCTATTAGGGTTTTTGGATTTGGACATTCTTTGTACGGACTTTGGGAAATGGGTAAATTTCTTAAAATGAGGTTTTTCATATTCTAAATTAGCATGTAATTGAAACATTTTGAATGAATGTATGCATCATTAAATAATTGTATGCACATGGGCATAGCCAAAAAAATTTTCACCCTGGGCTGCACAACATGCAAATCGAATGTTCGATAACTAGGCATGTAAACCAGTTGAACCGAGCTCGAGCTTAAGTTACTCGAGCTTGAGTCCTTAACGAACCGAGTTGAGCCGAGCTTGAATAAACGAGCTTAAAATTGAGCTCGAGCTTGACTCATTTATCACTAATAACGAGCCGAGTTCGAGCCAATCTCGAGCTTTAACGAGCCGAACTGTAAACAATTATATAAAAATTCTATTTTCAAGCCTTAGCGTGCCTTATTGAGCCGAGCTCATCTCGTTTATCAAATAAGCTCAAGTTCGACTCTTTATCAAATGAGTCGAGTCGAACTCGAGCCTTAATGAGTCGAGCCAAGCTTGTTTAGTTTGACAGCACTACCAATAAACATAGTTCAATTTGACTTATGAAAGTCGACCTCAACTCACTTGTATATTTAAACGAGCTAAGGTCAAACAACTATTGAGTTTATTCTATCTAACAAGTCGACTTGGTTTAGAGTTTAGAGTTTTGGACTAGATTTTAAAGTTATTAAACGAGACAAACCAAGTTTAAACGAGTCGAACTCAGGCTCACATATTTGTTTGATTATTAAATGAGTTGAGTCACGACAACTCGTTTATTAAATATAACGAGTTTAAACATGATGTACTTGACTCGAATAATCTAACTAGACACATATAAAAAAAAAATATGAAAGTATTAATATAAATTACGTGAATCACACATTAAATACTATTAAAATATGGATGTTGTATTTGTAAAATAATAATCAATTATATGGACCTCCTAAAAAAACTTGTGAAGTATTAACTACTCTTTTATACATGCGACAAATCATAACTTTTAATTAATTAATTATTATTGTTTAGATGCAAATATGTTTTTTACCATATACTTGAATTTTAATTAGAAAAATAATATATTTATTTAAAAGACCGCCATGAGACGGTATTTTAATTTCTTTATTCTTGTAGTATGACATGTCATTTAAAGTTCATATATCATTTCATTGACTATGCCGTATGAATAAATGAGCCTTGATATTAAATTATTTATGTACTGAAATACCAATTATTTAAGAAATCAAAAAAATATATAACTAAATTTGAAAATAAATAAATTCAACCGCATATTAAATATTACAATGGAAGTCTAACACAAGCAATTATTGTCACGAATAAAATTATTCAAACAAATTTTATTTAACTAAATAATATAATGTAAACACAAAAAGAAAATGTGAAACGACATAATGGGCTAAAAGAAAAAGTGAAAACAGACTTAAACCAATTTCAAATATATAATTCATTGATTTAATTTAAAATAAATATAACTCTTTTTGGGCCATAATAAGATTAATATATGGCTAGTGTAATATAACATATGCTAACTTATTTTTTACTAGTACATATTCAGATGTTCCGAAAAATTAAGACCGAACCGGAGCCCACCCCAGCCTTTTGGGGTGACTCTGCTAGTATGCATCTTTAAAGAAATGGGGAATTGGAGATTATGGAAGAAATTATGTTTGAAAAGAATTTTATTTGAACTCTTGACAAATATATGTATTTTAGACTTCAAAAACCACTTAAGCTTTGTAGTCGGACAAATCAACACGATGGTTGTCGAAAAACGAAATGGATGTCACATGCAACAAACAAAAAATGTTGGACATTTAATGACAATATTGAAAAAGTTAGCCCTCGTTAGCTTCGCTGGATTAGGTAGGATATCAAACCTAATCCAGCCCTAATCCTGCGTTTGATTCGGTGGACTGAGGCTCGCGGGATTGGGTCGACAGGAGATAAAAATAGCATTTATGCACTATTTATGGGATAAATGAATCCCAAGTAAAGGGTGGGATTACTCTAATCTTGCCTAGTTGAATTATTTTTTTGCCCCCAAAAAAGATTTTTTCGAACAAAATTATCCCTTAAAACTTATTTAATTACAACAATGCTTGATTAAAAAGAGGGGAACTAGAAATTATGGTGACATAGACATTTTTTTTTTTTTTGAGATAAAGTCATCCTAGTCCTTATCACATAAAACAAACATAGTATTATATTTATCCAAATAGTACAATCCTTCACATTTGCACTATTTTAGTCTCAATCCCATCCTAGAAAGCGTAAATGAAGTTTCCTCTTTGGAAAAACCTCTCCTTTTGGAGTTCTTAGTTCCATCACGTGTGGAGTGTTCCCGATACCGATCCCTTCCGATCAACTTCTTCTTTGTTGTGCTCGCCGTTTTTCTCCTTGTTTTCCCTTCTCTGATCGCGATTCTCTCCTTGTTTTTTTCCTTAGCTATTTTTTCCTCTTCATTGTAAATCTTATTTTGGTTTTGATTAGGGTTTCGAGATTTCTGGTGCGAATTAGATTTTGGGCTTTGTTGGTTTGTGGGGTTTACGGGGGGAAGAGATGAGGGTTTCTAGAGTGGATTTCTGGGATTTTCGGATTCCAGGTCCTTCCTTTTAGCTGCCATTTTTCTCTTCTAACCTGGGTTTTATTTTGTATATATCTTCTTCAGGTTGCTTTAGTCTCGACTACTGTTCTGTATCTAGTGAGTATTTGGTTGGTAGACAAACAGTATGGCTCACGATCTGGCTGAAAAGATGTCAAAATTTGCACTGTCGGAAAAGGAAAAAACTGGTGTTACTCTCGCAGATTCCGATATTGGTTCAAGCCTCCAGGGATGTGAACTAAGTTTGATTGGGAAGATTATTGGTGAGAAGAAAGTAAATCTGAATGGGTTAAGAACGACTTTGGCTGCAGTTTGGCGCACTTCTAATCCTTTCACCTGCAGAGCACTTGGCCAAAATCTGTTCCAATTCATGTTCCAGTAGAGGAGGATAAAACCAGAGTTCTGTATGGCAAAACATGGTCCTTCGATGGGCAATACTTACTCCTAAAGGAATGGAAGAAAAATGCGATTGATTTCAAAGATGAGGACCTGAAAGTTGAATTATGGGTGCAAATCCACAAACTACCACTCCATTGGATATCAGTGGAAACAGGGATGAAAATTGGGCGAATTTTCGACAAAGTGTTGGATGTAATAGTGCCAGGACCAGTCAGTTACATTGGAAATGTAGTAAAGATCCTTGTGGCGTTAAATGTCATGGAGCCGATACCCAGAGGAACAATTATAAAATTGGGGGATGAAGAACATTGGGTGGAGTTCAGGTACGAAAACCTACTTACTTTCTGTTTTTACTGTGGCCGTATAGGACATAATGATAGAATATGTGTGGTCAAGAAAGTCGATGTGCAAAAAAATATGCTGAAATCGGGACAATATGGGGAATGGTTAAGAGGATCTCCAGGTATGTTCTCTGAATTTAGAGAAAGGAGATCTTCTAGTCCCTCTAGCCCTTCAGGTGAGAGGGTGAGGACTGAGTCTAGTAAGAATAGGAATAATGGAGATGGGGATGATCAAATAAATGTTATGCCTATTGTTCCTATTCCTTATCCTACTTATAGTCCTGAGGACATAGGAGTAGGAGTAGAAAATGGAACAGGACAAAGGAATCAAAGTCCTGAGCTGGTTAGTAATTCTAATGTGCCAAGTCCAGATATTGACAAAGGGGTGGTAAGCAAGGAAGTAGGTTCTATTTTAATAGAACCTATGGAGCTGGATGAAAGTAAGATCAAAGGTTTAGATCTTAGTAACCTTGTAAATGTTCCAGTGGGACAGATTGACCAAAAGGGTACTAAGAACAAAAACCAAAGATCTGCTGGTAGGATTACCAGAAGTAAACTTGTTGATATTAGAAATAAAACATCTAATAAACAAGTTGTTTTGAGTGATCTGCAGGGAAGCCAAATTCCTCTGAAGAGGAAAGCTCTACCTGGGACTGTGGGAGATGTTGTTATTAATGAGAATGTGTCTGCTAAAAAACTTAAACAAGTTATAATTAGTAGTGATCAAAAGGTGGAGGAGACCAGCCAAAAGTGGTCTCAGAGTTCAAAATGAGAGTTTTGGTGTGGAATTGTAGAGGTTTGGGAGGACCCTCTACAATTCTCCAGTTGAAGGTAAATATTAGAGCCTATCTACCTGATTTTGTGTTTGTTTCTGAAACTAAAAAGAAGTTATCTTTTGTCAAAACTGTTTGCAGGAATCTTCATTTTGATAGTAGGTGGTTTTATGTGAACCCTATTAATAAAAAGGGTGGGCTTTTGTTGGGATGGTCTACTAATATAGATGTAGTTAATATTATATCCACTGATTTTTGTATAGAAGTGGGTTTTAAATGGAAAGGGGGGTGTGATGTATGGTGGGGGGTTTTTGTATATGCTAGTAATGATCCTATTGAGAGGAAATCTCAATGGGACTATCTTAGTAATAATAAGCATCAGTGGGGCAAAATGTGGATGGTTGCAGGGGATTTTAATGATATCCTCTGTAATGAGGATAAAAAAGGGGGAGTTTTGAGGGGAGAATCTAGTTTTAAGGTTTTTAGGGATTTTGTGTCTGACCTGAATGGTATGGAATGTCCTAGTAAAGGTCATCCATATACTTGGTCAAATAACAGGAAAGGGGGGGGAGTTTATAGAAGTCAAATTAGATAGAATTTTTGTCTCCCTGGATTGGTTATCTGTTTTCCCAGATGTATGGGTTCAGCACATTCAGCAGGTCTCTTCTGACCACTGTGTTCTACTTATGGATACTGAGGGCCATGTAACTGCAGGAAGAAGAGGTTTTTGTTTGATTGCAGGTGGATAAATGCAGATGGATACTCAGAATGTCTTAAGAAATCATGGGACACAGAGGTAAAGGGAATTGGTATGTACAGATTCCAGAAGAAACTGAGGAGTGTGAAGTTGGGATTGCTGGGGTGGCTAGCAAGCCAGAAATTAAATGCAGCAGATACAATAAGAGCTTGCAATGCAAAGTTGGAATTGTTGGGACAACAAGGAGGTGGTAGGGATTGGGACGAGTGGGTTCAATACAAGAAACAACTTCACCAAGCATACAAGGAGGAGGAGATTTTTTGGAAACAAAAGGCAAGGATAAGATGGCTTAAAGAAGGTGACAACAATACAAGGTTTTTTCAAGTGTGTGTTAGGCAAAGGAGGAGCAGAAATAGTTTGGAGAACCTGGTCACAAGGAGGGGAAAGAAGTGTGAAAATGCAGAAGAATCATTGAAAGAGATCTCTGAGTTTTTCAAGCAACTGTTCAGTTCACAGAATCCAATATTCTAGCCAGAGGTGTTGCAGGGAATTCCAAAATCCATAACATCTACCATGAACCAAAGGCTCACTAGAACAGTGACAGAAGAAGAGATAAAAGCAGCTTTGTGGGAGATGGATCCAAATAAGACTCCAGGTATGGATGGTTTATCACCTGTATTTTTTCAGTCATCCTGGGATTTAATTAAACATGATTTAACCAATGTTGTTTCAAATTTTTTTCAAACCTGTTGCATCCCAAAAGCCACAAATCACACAATCATAACTCTGATACCTAAAATTAAATTTTCCCAAAAAATAACTGATTATAGACCCATAAGCCTTTGTTCTGTCACCTATAGACTGATTGCCAAGATTTTAGCAAATAGAATGAAATCAGTCCTTCATGTGTGCATATCCCAAACCCAATCTGCTTTTGTTCCAGATAGGTTGATCTTAGATAATGTTGTTATAGCAAATGAATGTATTCATGCCCTAAATAGGAAGAAAAAGGGGAGAAAATGTCTCATGGCCATTAAATTGGACATGGCAAAGGCATATGACAGGGTGGAATGGGGCTCTTTTATTAGAGTTTGTAGGCATATGGGTTTTTGTGAAGCTTTTCTGAAATGGATATGGGCTTGTATATCTTCTTCTTCATTTTCCTTCAATATAAATGGGCAAGTTATGGGTAATCTGACTCCTACTAGAGGTTTGAGGCAGGGAGACCCTTTATCTCCCTATCTCTTTATCATTCTGTCAGAAGTTTTGTCAAACTTAATTAACCAGGCTTGCATT